TCCTGGAGCTGACTATCGAGCTCCTGGCGACGAGCGTCTTTCTTGGACTCCCTGTGCTTTTGGTTTTGGCGCGCCTTGTCCTGTGGAGCGGAGTCCCCACGAAAAGGGCCCTTGGCGCGTGGACCACCGTTCACGGAGGCACCTCCCGAGAACTGGTCCTCGAAGGCCTGATGCATGGAGGGGACTGCGGCAATGGCCTCGGTTTCATGTATGGTCGCCCGAATCCAGCATACGTGGTCGGCAGGGTCGATGGTGCGACGGCTACTTTTTCCGTGCAGGCGACCTCCTTGGTGCCCAGCTGGTACACGGTCACGGGGACGTGCGTGTGGACCACTTTGGGCGCCTTGGGGTGGCGCTTCAGGACGGGGACGGCGAGCTCGGTACCGACGTAGTTGTCGTTTTTCGGGCCCATGACAGCAATCGCGAGCTGACCCGTGGCTCGCTTGCCCTGCTCGAGGTGCTGCTGCAGCAGCCGTTCACCACTCTCGTAGTCGTGGAGGCTGATGCTGGGCTTGTACGTCTTGCCGTCGTCAGGCGAGGTGGGTTCGGCAAGGACAGGGACCTTCCAAAAGGCAGGGTCCAAGGCGATGAATTGGGTGTCCACAGCCTGAAGACGTGCGGAGCCCGCTGGTGGATGCGATGTGTCACCGCCAGTGCGCTTAGGCTTGCTGCGCTGGTGGTGATCGAGCGTGTAGCTAATCTGGTTGGCGGCGCACATGCGGATAAGGGCGCTGCCAAGCTTCTTCGTGTTGGACTTGTGCATGTCGTGCATTGCCTGGAACTCGTCCGCGTTCAGTTCGGCTAGCCCGTTATAGGCGGCCGTGGGGCGGTCAGACCCCGCTTGCCTGAACGCTGCGATGCAGTCCTGCTTGCGTTGAAGGAGGGACCCTTCAGCAGCAGGGCGCGTGGGGCGGGAGCTCGGAGGCTGCTTTGAAGAGCGACGGCGCTCCGGCTTCTTGGGGGCCATTGCTGCGGGCACTCTGGTGCGGAGAGGTAACGCGAATCAGTAGGGTCCTGCTGGGACCCCTCCGGTCTCGCGAGGCCTGGGAGTCTGACTCCGAGGCGGGGCGCTTCGCGTCGCGGCTGCGGTCTGAGTGCAGGGCACTCTCGAGCCGAGACTAGAGAGAGAGAGAGAGAGAGAGAGAGAGAAAGAGAGAGTGTGTGTGATGTGCGATTGAGTATGATGATGATGTCGGTGGTGGTGATGCTGATGGGAATGATTATCGATGGCCGATGGTGATGGTGATCGGTGGTGAGTGGCTGCTTATGGGGATGGTGGTGGTGATTATGATGACCGATGGTGATGATGACCGATGACGGGGTGAATGCGCGAGTGAGGCGGAGAGTGGGAGGGAGGTGAGGTTCCTGCGCGGAGGGTGTCCAGAGAGCACAAGAACCTCATTTTGGATGTGGGGAATAAAACTTATTTTGTTCTTTCCTTCCATGTGCGGCCGCAGAGGTCCCGACTCCTTCCCTGGGTCGTTTTTTCGCGGAGGATTTTGTTTTGGTGGTCTTGGCGCTTGATGCGGAGGCTGAAACAGAGGAACAACTGTCATATTGAAACGCCCAAATTTTGAAGGTACTCATACGTACGACGAAAGCATTCATCCTGGACCCTCAGGCGCGAGGCTGCTGGTGGTCACCGTTTCTTCCCCCGAGAATCAAGATGATGAGGAGGATGACCAATGTAAACTCAAGGCTCGCAAACCGTTTTGCAATAACCCTTCCTTCCACGTTCCCTCTTCATGCGCCACTACAAGGGTTCATGTTCACTGAGGGAACTGCCCCGTTGGAAGACAACCGATTGGAAATCTGGAGTTTTGCCAGAACACCATTCGTGGGACTTCAACGCCGCGAATCACGGTTAAGTGCTGTTGCGTCTTGACGATCGTGAAAAGGTGCGAGAACACCATTTCTGACCCTTCAACACCGCGGATCAACGTTACTGGTCCTCCCTGACGCTGTGCGAAAGCACTTTTTTTTGGCACGTTCGCCATGAGAATATGCGCGAATATGCTCGGCGCTCCAGCGAGAGCCACGTTTTGAAACTGGACCGCCCTCTATCCGAAAAACTCTTGCAGTTTTTTGAGACGAATGTGCGCGGCGCTCAGGCGAAAGGCACATTCTGAAAGCGGACCGCTTTCCATCGGTAAAGCTTTTGCGAACTTTCAAGACGAATGTGCGCGGCGCTAAGTTGAGAGCCGCATTTTGAAACTGGACCACCCTCCATCCGTGAAGCTGTTGTAGTTTTTATTATATTTCCAGGATCTTAAACTGTGAGGAGGTCTCAGGCGGAATGCCCTGCCCGCCCTTTCGACCGGTCTCGGTGTGCGACAGTGAGGAGTTATTTATAATGAAGAAGGATGAAAGAATATTGAGGGGGAGGAAGCGGAGGATAAAGACCAGAAGGGGTACTGCTGATGATAAGGCTGCTCATGCTGATGATGATCATGATGATGCTGAGGATGACGCTGATGCTGGTGCTGATGACGACGATGACGACGACGAGGATGATGATGATGATGATGATGATGATGATGTTGTTGTTGCTTATGATGACGATGATGATGCTGATGTCGAGAATCATAATGATTATGATGATGATGATGATGGTGGTGGTGGTGGTGGTGGTGATGCTGATGATGAAGATGGTGATGATGATGCAGGTGATGATGATGATGATGATGATGATGATGATGATGATGATGATGATGATGATGCTGATGCTGATGCTGATGCTGATGCTGATGCTGATGCTGATGATGATGATGATGATGATGATGATGATGATGAGGAGGAGGAGGAGGAGGAGGAGGAGGAGGAGGATGTGTGTTGACTCCGACGGCCGCACCACATGAGCCACATGGGCGAGTGCTCACTGCATCTGTGGGTAATGCAATGAGACAAATGAGCCGTGCAGCCGGCGCAAGAGCACAGAGGCTCGCACTCTGCGACGGCGCCGAGAGCACCCCAGTGAACGCACCAGGCTAGGACAGGAGAGGCATCAGTCAGCTTCACGAGACATCTACCTCAACCGATCACGCACAGGCAGCAGAAGGCAAGGGTGTTGCAGGGCACCTGACGTGAGACCTGCACCAGAGACCCAAGCCTTGGTGGCCCTTCACTGGCACATTTTTGCGTCGACGGCTGGGCAGGGGTCGTCTGCGCTGGCGGATGAAGCTAACTAAACGGGGCGCCGTTGTAGCGAATTGGCCAGCGGGCAAGGGGGGGAAGGCGGAAAAGCGGGCGGCCGCGGGCAGGGAGGAAAGCAGTGGGGGAGAGGGGTGCTTAGGGGGACGACCTTTCACTAGCAAACATAGCCCAAGGGGGCCATCCTATACCAGGACGGGAGCCAGCACGGAGCACGGAGTGAGGCCACGGAACAGACACGTTGCAATGAGTTCACCACTGTCAAGGCTCCGCCTCTGCGGCGAAACCTTGAAAGGTTAACAGGGGCCAGCAGTCTACACGGGAGTGCGGCCGAAGAAAGACAAGAGGCACAATTAAAGAAGCTCAAGAGCATTGTCGATCGCCACGTCACGTGGCTGCGCCTAGGATGGGGGTGAATGCTGCGACATAGGAGACGCCAACCAGTGCCTGCGTGCCTGGTGGGTATTCCCTCGCAACGCTCGATTCGGCCTTGAATCATTTCGCCCGTGGAGTGATACTTGCGCCTGGGACATCTGAATACCACGAGCCGTCAGAGCATGGAAACGCGATGCCTCTGTGCCCTAAACGCTGCATGACAAATTGTCGTTTAGCGTTGACCTCTTCGAACAAGCTCCTGGAGGGGCTCCTGCGGGATTCTCTTGCCGAGCAAGCACTGAGCACAGCTCCAAATCCCAGACCGCCTCTCCCAGGCGTGTGAGGGCCGAGGAGGCCTGGGAGGAGCAGGAAGAGGAACACACGGAACGTCTAGTGACAGCTTAGGCCATAAGGGCAGCACATGAGCAGCAAAGATACAAGAGGCACGCGCAACGGTAACTAGAGCATCAGCCTGTAAAATGCTAGCAGGGTCGGAAGGATCATCTGAAGACCATGTTTGGCCCCAGCATCCGCATCATTGTTCTCTCTGCGAAGGAATCTTTTGCGGGGTGCGATATCCTCTTGGTCCAACTGTAGGTGCGCCTTAACCTTCACTGTAGCTTCAACCCTGTCGCCTTCGAACGAATTGGCCTTCATTCTCATGCCCGAGGACGAACGCTTGCCCGAATACCTCTCGCGCAGTGGCAGCATATAATGGTCGACTACATCCGCACATTCGCTATACAGGATCGAATGAAAGGTACTGAACTGTGAAACCACACATCTGGCTGAATATTCAGCCGCCTGAGCCGTTTGAGGGAAGTGGGCCCAGACAGGCCCTCGCACATCTCCAAGGCTCTTCCCATCATCCAAATTCGTACCGATACACCACGCAGCGTGAGACAATTCACGAACAACATGGCGCTGACAGGATCCACCGAGGAAGAGGTGACCCCAAATCTCTCCGTTGACGGGAACCTTGGGACCATCGGGGCTCGAGAGCTCAGGAACATGCCAAGCATAAAGCAAGGCTTCGGAACCTTCACGGCAGGATGCGGCAAGACGTCGGCGGGATGAGCGAACGCTCCTCGAGTATAGAGCGCCACAACGTGGCTGTCGGCCTCAGCTGCCCAGACAGTGCTAGCATCAGCAACGACCGAGGCGGGGACCAACCGAGTCCGAAGCTGCTCGACCGCGCCGAAGGAGCATTGCCACAGCCAGGAGGAGGAGGAGGAGGAGGAGGAGGAGGAGGAGGAGGAGGAGGAGGAGGAGGAGGAGGAGGAGGAGGGAGAGAGGGGGGGGGGGAGGGGGAGGGGGAGGAAAGGAGAGGAAATGATTAGCAAGAGGAGGGAGAGAGGAGGAGGCAGAGGAGGAGGAGGAGGAGCAGAGAGGAGGATGAGCAGAGGAGGAGGAGGAGGAGGAGGAGGAGGAGGAGGAGGAGGAGGAGGAGGAGGAGGAGGAAGTCGACCCCCCAG